AAAAAAATCAAGCAACCCATTAAAGATCCTACTTTAGGGATAGCTACTTAATTACTAATTAGCTTCTGATTACCCAAAATGTGTAATGGGGTTAAGAAGTCCACCTCCTTTATTTTTCACTGTCACTCGACTATACTTGCACTACACTGGTAAACTTAAGAACATAACAGGAACAAGAAACATCCTGAGGTACAGTCATATCAACAAGACGTGTACCTGCAGCAGTGATAACAATACACAGTGGAGGGAATGTATGGATCCAGAGCAAAGGAGAAACTCTAAGTCTGGTATAAAATTTTATGAAAAGGTGTCTGTAATTATTAATCTAACATCTTTATTATGTACCCTATACCCATCCTGTGGGCTGTAGTCAAAGGATTATAGAGGTACATAATGCGTCCTGGAACTGGGCTGCAACAATACAGTATTTATATATGTAGTTACTGCTAAATATTTACAATTAGGCTGTAGCAGGAACTATAAATGTTGTATTGACAGGGAAACTAATGGTCAGTGACACACACACAACAGCTGCTCCACCTGTTAATGACAACCTCCACCATCAGACTCAACCCAGGATCAGCTGTAGACCTCCATTCACTGCCAGTCACAACAACAACTACTCATCCTAATTTCTTTAATCTTTCTCCTCTTCTTCCTCTCTTCTATTACAATTATCTTAACCATCATACACGTGATCTCAGTGTTGAGTCAGCCTTACCACCTGCAGGGTCCACCTTCGTATCACAGTTCACTAGAGATTCTGGAAGGTTTTGAAAACATCTATCAGATAAGAAGCTGCGAGGGTGGAGGGAGGAAGTATATCTCTGCTCACAGGTATCCCTCACTGGGAGATATACCCCATAGATATTCATATTCCTCACAAATGAAAATACGATACAACATTACCATAAGATAAGATATTTTTAAAATGATGTAAAGAAACCAATATCTTTCTGACACATGTATACCTGGAGGATGCTCCGGGGATCAACCTGGTCCATGACCAGGTCTCACGGTGGATCAGAGCCTGACCAACCAGGCTGTTACTTCTCGCCGCACGCAGTCCAATGTACGAACCACAGCCCGGCTGGTCAGGTACTACTTTAGGTATTTGTCCAGCTTCCTCTTGAAGACAGCCAGGGGTCTGTTGGTAATCCTCCTTATGTATGCTGGGAGGTAGTCCAGCTGTCTGTATTGTCTCTTGATGTATTCACGGCACCCCTGCTTTTCATTGTGGGTATGTTGCATCGTCTGCCTAGTCTATCGTTTTCGTAGGGAGTGATTCCTGTGTGAAGATTTGGAACCAGTCCCTCTAGGGCTTTCCAAGTGCAGGTTATGATGCATCTCTCTCGTCTTCTTTCCAGGAAGTACAGGTCAAGGGACCTCAAATGTTCCCAGTAGTTAAGGTGTTTGACTGAACTAATACCTGCAGTGAAGGTGCTCTGTACATACTCTAGATCTGTAATTTCACCTGCCTTGAATGGGGCTGTTAGTGTACAGCAGTATTTTACCCTAGAGAAAACAAGTGATTTGAAAAAGATCGTAGGTATGTCATCCCTTGTTTTGAAAGTTCTAATTATCCATCCTATCATTTTCTTTGCAGATGTGATAGTGACACTGTTATGATCCTTGAAGGTGAGGTCCTCTGACATTAACACTCCCAAGTCCTTCACATTAGTTTTTCGCTCTGCTGTGTGGTTAGTGTTTGTAATATACTCTGTTCTACCTATTATTTCCTCAAGTTTTCCATAGAG